CATTAGCTTCCTCGTGGCCTTGCAAAGTCGCTGTACCAACTTGAGAGCGATCAAGACGAGGTTACTAGACCAAAGTACACTGCCTCCATACCCTCGCTTGGGAAAACCCGAAGTTGTCATCGAGGCATTCGAACTGATCGATAGGTACTTGGGAAGTATTTCATCCCTGCGAGATATCGTTTTAAAGAGATTTGAGCTCCAGCCGTTTGGTTACATTGCAATGAGAATGGACCGTGTCAGATGGACTATTACCATATGGCAAGCGCAAAATGGGGCGGTTGAGTTGCTCAGAGTTACTACATTTTACAAAAACAGATATAGGGGGAACGAGTACTGTTGTTACACTTTTTGCTTGAACCGTCGTCTTGAGCGATGTATTTGGCCGTTAGATTAATGTTCCCCTAAGTGGGTATAAGAGAAGTCTTAAAGCAGTTAAATAGCGACAGCTCTATGTTTCTTCGTCATTCATCGTTAGGCATACTCTAATGATGCACATTTTCCAATTCGAAAAATTTCAAGCGAATAGTTTTCAAATAAGCAGTGTGATTGTATCCAAATACTGCCAGTTTAATCATTCGACCCAGTGGGTGTTTCGAACAGGCATTCGTATTCAACAAATGTATAATAGTAATGTTGCCCGTATGAGGAATGATCTCCATCCGCTTTGCTGCTAGGGATGCAAAATCAGCAACATTACAGACGCCGTGTATATGTGGCTCAAAGCTCTCAAACAGTAGGTTAAAGTTCATCGGCCACACGACGAGGAAGATGCGGTCTACCTCGTTAAGGAGATTATTGTATATTACATACCCTAAGCTAAAGTCTCCTTGGTTCGTTATCATCGACTGCATCTGCTGTTTGGCACCACCAGCTTCTCCCCAATTTAAATTATAGGCGCTTACCTGCGGATCTTAAGTCAAGCGAACGAGCATATGTATATGAACCTAGAATCCCCGTCGATTCTGTCAGAAATGACCCTCTAGCCATCAGTGGTAGCTGCTCGGCGGATAGGCTTGGGTTCTGGCGAACTTTTCGCGTAACTGATCTACACTAGTTCCATGACATGGATCTTGGGCTTCTCTTGTTATAAATGAACGAGGTTCTCGATCTCAATTATTAATGAATATAAGTAGATTCCGAGTTTCCATAGAATGTGTTGTTCGTAAATCAAGCTAATGGCATACGTCAAGTACCTGTAAAGACTCGATACCGATGGTGCAGAAGTTGATCTTGAATACAAGTTTCATATCAAACGCTTCTTGAATCGACTCGGCAAAGGTTACGTCGTCATGCACATGCACCCCAGCCGTCACAAGATCTCGTGCGACGATCGTTTTACTGCAAGATGAATATTCCATGCAAATGCAGGTTCATCTTTCAATTCTCACGAACTATATTTGATTGTCACACAAATATGGTAAAGATATTTTTCTTTTCCAACAGCGATTCTGAGCTGAAATTGCGCGTTCTCGTAGATGGATTGACAGACAGTAACCTAATAGAGAGGTATGTACCTAGAAAGACCGCTGTCCCTGCTAATTAAGACCCCGGTCCTTGAAACACTAACCCAAAAGACATTTCCGTTGAATTTTAGTTTTTGTCCTTAAATAAGAAAGATAGTTATTCAGGAATCTCATCTCTTTTTTTAGATTGCGTCGTCAAGTCATTGATGTTAGTGAAGATGGTGCAGCTGTCATCATTCTGGCACACCGTCGTACGGCCCAGGTTCTTAGCCACGGGTCCGGTTGGGCCAGACACGAAGTGGCATTCGCCAAATATGCAGTATTGGTCGGGGTAGCTGCTCTGGTACTGTTCGTCGCCCCAAGCGCCCTCCCACAGCAGCCAGTCGGCCGTCTCCCCGGACTCTTCCGAGCCACCAGTTGAGGCGCCTCCAGCAATGCTAAAGGTACCGCTGCTTGTGTCATACCAGTAGCCACGGTAGTTCGCGGTTATGTCCCACGGCGTGCCCGCATCGGTAGTATCAGTAACAATTCCGGCAGCGATTGTGTACTCCTGTTTGCCTGCAGTGGCATAGTTGGCATGTCCACCATTTCCGACGTACGTTTTGGGCCGTTCGCCATTGAAGGTCATGACATCCCAGTAATAAGCAGAACCTGCTGAGTGTTCTGAAAGGTAGATGGCGTAGGGTGCGCCATTCACAAAACGGATCTGCAAATATCATCAGTCAAGGGGGGTTGTGCGTGTAAAGCAGTCGACAGAAAACCTACCATGACGTGTTCCCAGTCACCGACGTGGTCGTCGAAGTTGATGCCGATGACCCTGAATTCATGTCAGTCCGAATCAGTGCGGAGGGAATAGCATATAAAACTCACTTTCCGCCATAATTGTACGAATAGAAGTGGAAGTAGAAGACGTCGGTAGTGGTAGAGTTCTTCTCGACGGCAATGATAGTGCCTGGCGCACCACTGACACCATTGCTGTCTGGCTTCCCGTAGGTGGATGTGATCCAGGCCGGGTTATCGGAGGGCGTGTCGGCAGCAGTCAGGTACACGCTGCTGTTGTAGGTATTGAGGCTGTCAACGGTGACGGAGCCGGCGGCGCCAAGGGCAACGTAATTAACCTCGGGGATGATGTTGGCCAGGTGAGTGACGATGTCCGAGGGGAAGTAAGCCTCGCCGCTGTACAGATATGTCCAGGGCGCATAGGTGATGGCATAGTCGGGCAGGGCATCCCGCCGGTGCAGTCTGGAGGTCGGGGCGGCAGCGGCCAAGCCGGCCACGGCGCAGACCGATAGGACTTGGCGCAGGGCAGTCATCTTGTTGGTTGTGATGGTCCGTGGAGTAGGTACACTGACGAACGGGCTCCTCGCTCCATGCCGGCCCTTTTATTGCTGGTACTTGTTGGTCTTGCCGATCCTGCCGCCCCCACCGGCAGTAACTCTGGCAGAGCTCTGGCAGCAATGCAGGCACGGGCCGCGCCCTGTTGATCCTGTTCAGGAAGGACGTTCGTGGCTTGCCAGTGCCCGGGCTGCGGCGTGGTCCAGCTACCGCCGGGCATTGGGCCATGACGAACAGTGCCGTACCAGATAGGCAGGTCGTTCTCCAGCACCGCCAAAGAGCCTCGGCTTGGCCACCATAGCCAATGGGCTACAGGACGGCTTGCATGTGCGTGGTGGATGAAACCAAGCCCTGCCAAGGGTCAAATCCTTGGTTCGGCCCAATTGCTAAAATAGTACCTGTATCCTAATGTTGGCGTCATCGTGTGAAAGAAGCTGCCAAGCTGAGGTAAACGTTTAAAGATCATGCTCAGTAGACTACGCGACGTAACACCACAATCTTAATAGACGTACGCATGGTAGATGCAAGATGGAATTTCGGCATAATCTTCGGCGCCGTCTTCAAGTTCAGCGTGATCAGCTACTCTGTCATAGGTAGTAACGAATGGGCTAGGTTACTTGAGTAAGATCTACCCACATCAAAGGCCCTCGGATAGGGCTGAACGCTGGAAGCATGTTGAGACACTATACCGTACGAACCAATAGATTAATTGAATTGGATTGTATTAATTCTTTTCGCATCGTTCAAATAATAATGCTTGAAGTGACTAAAGTATCTAGATTGATTGACTTGACTAATTGACTTATACTTCGCTGAGTGGTTACCTAACTTAGCCATACAGGCTCAAACTAACCTTCATTGATTAATTGAGCTAAATGACTATGCTCTTCAAATGTGGCTTGCTAAGGTGGGTAATTAAGTATAAAGTCCATGTAGTAACTTTAAATACAGCACAATTATCAAATTTCTTCCAGAAAACAAAAAGTTTTATCGGATAGGTTTTCTAGTGCATCTAATGCTATTACCGATACCTAACCTAAGGTAAAGTAGGTTTCTACTAGTAGTAACACACCCTCCTCAATGCTTAATGTCTACTTTACTCAACGCCTAACGATATACAACAACGTTTTGACTGGCAAACAAATAGAACATAAACCTAAAGGATGTAATTACATGTAGTGCAGCACCTAATTCACAGACTATCACCAGACTGGCTCCGCAAACATACTTCAAAGACAAGGATATATATGCGTAACGGCCAGGCAAGGAATGAGTTCAACCTGAGATATATATATTAGGTTTTTCATCCGACGTCGCTTCTTTTATAAGAACTTAGCAATATTTTCCTAATACTCAGTTCCACCTGTCCTCTGTTAACTATCTCCGTCGCCATCACAAGTCGGGTCTCCCGTGAACGGAAATGAAAAGATCCCAGATATATGAATAGCCTAGACCACATAGCTCTCCTCTGAGAGACCCGAGAATCCATTCTATTGGGCCTTCTCTCCTAAACTTCGACTTCACTCTAAAGACCGACCTATTGAGAAACTCCAGCTAAGAAACGTAGTTTATGAATTGTTGAGGGTTTTACTAAATTTCCGGTTAAGGTCTTCGGCTAAGCTATGTGACAGTGAACATCCATGTGCCGTGATTTCGTTCGCAACGTAGCAATGTGGCTTTCGATTAGCCGTCGCAATATCTATCTCAGATAGTGTAAAGGCAATGAGAAAAAAGTCAATGACAAACCTGCGTTGCATAGTATGCATCCTTTGAAGTATGGTGAAGCTGAGAAACTAAAAGGTCGCATAAATGCTCGTCGCACATGAGTACATAGCTGAGAATCTTAAATCGCAAGTCCAGAGAGTTGCGAAGGTCAATAATTAGTAACATATTCATCGATGGCTTGGGTATCGGGCTATGAGAGTACTCACCTTGGCCGTATACATTAAGACTGCTAAATTAGACTTCCACGCATACCTACTACTTAATTAGCTATTATTGCGATCGGGAATCACCTATTACTTAAGAATTTAGTCTAAATGTAAATAATGAACGCCTCTCGCGTAACGATGCCTTTACTTTGCAATCTCGTCAAAGCAATTCTCAAGTCCGGTTGCACAACACAGTTTGGCGTAGGTAGCGGTGTAGCTTTTCAGGTATTCAAACTAATTTTTTGGAGCGACTTCTCATCCGAAAATGCAAGGACCCGTAGCTCAGCGGTAGAGCATCTGATTCCAGCTATCTAGCATCTACTGCTAGCTGCCTCCAGAAGTAGGTTTACCTAACTATTGAGTACCTTGGCGCATTAGCTAACAAGCGGTAGGGTCATCCGTTCAAATCGGGTCGGGTTCAATTCCTATGACGGTCCATTATCTTTTTCTATTTTTTTTTGGCTAAAAAGATCTTTAGCGCTAAGCCCAAGTAAGAGAAAATTCATAAGCCAATCAAGCATCATAAAAACATGTAGACAAACCACTCCTTTTCTAATAACCGATATTTACAAAACGTCTTTTTTATTTTTTATTTTTTAACTACGAGCAATACATACATGCATAGCTTTCGAATGGTTAGCATAGGTATGTATGGTAAGGGTTATCTGGTTAATAACAGAACCTCGACCAGCTACGCCTATTCAATTGAGACGATAGAATAACAATTGATGGATATAAGATTATTCCTAACAAGGAGATGCTGTTAACTAGCTGGAGCGATTGCAACATACACGGATGAGGTGCTCAAGTAGAATGGCGATTGGTCAGGATATTTGCCTCTTTGAGCTGAGTTTCTATTTCCACCCCAGAATTTCACCTGAGGGCAACAAAAGGCTTTCATGTATGACATATTTAGATTCTCCATAGGGTGGTCTCTACTGATACAAGACGAAGCGGGTTTACGTAATCTATCAAACACGGCATTGTGACAGTCCTACTACTCAAATCTACGGTTGGTGTTTGACGTGGTATCGACAATTGTTGAGATATTAGATTTGTAGCACCCAAGTCTCAGTTCGCTTTGGGACGGGTAGCAAAGGCAGAAGAAGGGAGTGCGCGGCAAAGAAAGGAGGGGAGGGGGAAAGGGTGCAGAGGAAAGTGAGACTATGCACCTCAGGGTCTGGGGACAGGAATGTGCTTGAGGGACCTTAGAAACTACTCTGTGTCTGCTTTTGTGCGCATGATGGGATTCATGTAATTGGATTGCCTACCGGATGTTGGCACCGTCGTACATGAATAGCCTCGAAGCGAGAGACCTCGCAGTCGTAGTCTGAGATTATGTATCGGTGTGCATCTAGATGTTCAGAACTGGACATCTTATTAGATTAGTCGTTGTTTGCTGCCTGGATTTATGTTTGCCGCGGGAGACGATGTAGTACACGCCTAGGTTAGATGCTGATGGTGTGACATTCGAGTCCATGAGAGATGATAATCACATTCTATTTCCCTCAACAAACTCAGGCCATAAGTGAGAAGGAGCAAGCATCTTGCAATTCTTCCCGCTTTATCAGCCCAGAGCGGGGATGAGATACACTCTATATTGGAACTAATCCTCGATTCCGGAATGTGGTACCGAACTTGGGAAACTCAACGCTTCCCCTTTGGGCTGGAGAGACAGATTGTCCTGGCTGCAAACGAGGGCGAGTGGTACGAACAAGCGGTTAGCGATGACGATAGCCGGTGGCGATCATGGCACCAGAATTATCATTGAAGGCTTCGATGAATGATTGTATATAACTAGCCTCAGGATCTCTCTTCCCAGATATCTTGACTCACGTTATCGCTCAACTGTCCGATGACTAAACAACTCAATTCTTCACCGAATATATCTAACATTTACAATGTCTGGGGGTACCGAATGGCAGGTAATATGCTGGGAGGGCGACGAAAAACCAGAAGAACACGCGTCGAGCTTGCCAGGAGCTGAGCAGGCATACTGGTTCAAGGTCCTCGTGCCACACGACCGGATAATCTCGCACACGAAATCCAAGGTGAAGCACGGCAGGATAGAGACGAAGCTCAAGGACAAGCGCTCGCACGTCCGATGCACCGTATGCAGGTGGTATGAGGAGTTCCCCGGAAGCACCGGCATAGGACGATGGGCGTCGTACGGACAGATCCGTGCCGAATGGGACAGACTCCCGGCGATGAACGGATACTACACGTTCTACAGTACCACGATGGCGCACCCTATCGCCCCTGCTGTCGACCATTACTTCGACTTGGAGTTCTTCGTCGGCAAGCATACGACTAACTCCCCTGGGGCGTGGTCCCATACCAATCCCTTCCAAGTCTAATGTAGAAAGGTGAACATATTTACTCAGTTTTTGAGTGAATGTATAGTCTGCTAACATTCGTGCCAGACTATTAGCTGTTAGAGAGAGCGATTCAGCAGTTGCAATTGGTCGGAGGTATCTGAGGATGGATGTTGAAGCGAAAAAAGTGTATGACAAGGAGCTTTTAGGAACACGGTGGGAGTTTTGACATTTTATCATCTAAAACAAGGCCGAACATGGTATTGGTCAGATATATTTCCCTACTAAGCGACTCAATCTCTTTCTTCTACTATCCTCTCTGCCTCCCTTCGCCGGGCATCCATTTCTCTTGGGCGGCGTAGGGTGGTCATACCGGTGTTCCTGAGAGTCCCCCGGTCTGTCGGTATCGGGCTGCTCGATTGTACATCGTAATGTGTACTCTCATACACGGACCCGTATTCGTTAGTTCCATAGTGGCTCCCGTGACGGGATATCGATCGCTGGTCTAATGTCGGACATGTCGGGAAGACGAGGTGGCAACCGGCCCTCCGTCTCACATACCAATCACGAGCTACCGTTACCGATGCTTACTAGTATTCCCCTCTTTCCTTCCTTTCTCTCTCTGCGTGCTACCAATGTGAAAAAATCATAGAACTTGTGGCAAGGATTCTCAAGTGTAGTGCGAGGGTTCTGAGTTCGCCTCGTCATGAGCTTGTAAATCTCAGCGAAGGAGTTTCCCGGATATATTAGTATATAAAATTGTTACCCAGGCAGATTCGTGCTAATTGAGCAAGAAGCTTTACGCATAATATGGTGTGATATGGTGGTGCAAGGGAGATTCAGTCCGACCCAAAGCCACTTTCTAGACCAATCTCTGCACGAATGGTCATGGTACGTTGTGGCATTCATGGTAGGAGGATCCATTTAGTGAATTATGATCACGCGTTCGGTCTTAGAAGTAGCAACAGTTGGCTATTAATTAGTGCTTTGGAATTGTTGAAGTAAGGGAGTTAGGTACACTGCACCTCAACAATTATATGTATCTCTATCTCTCCCCCATAGTCTCTGACCTGTTTCTTCCTTTTAATCATCCTAAATACAACCACTATTCTGCTACGTATGTATGCGTCTCCACTCTCATTGACAGGAATTCTAAATTTTCTGTGGCTCATAGTCCAATTCCCAAGCTCATCTTGTTCAGTTCAAGTTTGAATACATAATTGCATTGCTTATCAATCAATATCGAACAACTCCTCGAACTCACGCCCTTCGGCATCCAGAACGCAACATGCCCGAACTGCCGGAGGAGGCCCATATTTTCACGCTGCTTACGTCTTGGGCGATATGTTTCTTCACAGGCGCAAACCCGAACGTGTACGAGTTCCGGCCGCCCAGGGTGGGAGACCTGTCCACCCAGTCGTTCACGGTGCACATCCCATCTACCCAACTAAGACACTATAGGGAGTCCCCTCTGTCTAGGCGCCTCCGTGACCCGGCCGGCCATTGTAGGCTGGCTTTCTTCAAGTGCGATAGACGGGGCCGAGCTTTCCAGTGGTCGCACACTTTCCACGCGCGCTACCAGTCCTACCGCGATCGCCACTTCTCCTTTGACGCCATACTGCCGTTGCACGGACAGCTCCTACCCGGCCTTTATTATATCGTCTGCAATTTCTATAGGGGACACTTGGAGGCTGATTATCCGGACGAAAGCTATACTACCGGTCTAATCGTGATTGAGTAAGACTAAGGAGATAAAGGTACGGAGGTCAGGTAGCTTTAAAAAAATATGCTACTAATTTGGACGTAGATATAGCATCGATCATGATTTAGTAGAAGATTTCGTCGGTTTTTCTGCCATAGCACATTAATGATGGGGCTTTTGAGTCGGCTGTCTTTGTAATCTCTTGTTATGGTTAAAGGGTTTCGCCAGCAACAACTGGAGTAAGTTCGGGAAAACCAAGAGTTAACTGGGGAGATCAATGAGACATAGTATTATGATATTGGTATAGTAAAGAGACAGTTCTAATGATCTCGCGACTTTGGGCTCACCTTCACTATCAGCATAGACAAATGGCTATATGGCTTTGTGACTTTGCGAGCTGTACGGCCAGGAGCTACCATCGTAGCTATTGAGGTAAGCACTCTCTTCAAAAATTTCCCGCGATGATATATAGCAGTTAGCTACTAAACCAATACATTAAATTCTGATTATGGTGAATAGTTTATTATACATCAACTATTCACCTCTAATTGCAACAGCCAAAGCCAACAAAATATAAACAAAACCTTACACCTCAAGACTAATATTATTTACGTCAAGTTCGTAGAAAGGAGGCGACGGCGTAAAGCAAAGGATCACAACCAAAAATACCCATCATATTCGCGATCTGACTTGGCAGCCCTACGAGGTGGCCTATGTCACGCCTGGTCTTTCTGAAATATTGAAACATGATAACATGATTTAACATATCCCTGAAACCGCTACACCAACCAAATCTTCATAAAATTTCAAGCATATGATCAGCCACCCGTCCTTCAAGGTACCTTCTCTCACACGTATTCCCAAGCACTAGCCCCAGAAGCAGTATAAGTCCTCATCTCAAACAACAGACAGTCGCCCGTGTAATTACCCAGGAATATCTGATAAACACCATCATCCGACCCATCAACCGAGCATAGCTGCCAGTTCCTGGAAGGGAACGCCAGCACCGTCGGAGCCCCCCCAGCGTCGGATATGGCACGTTCAAACCCATTGGCCACAGCGCCCTCGGGCAAAGTGGCGTTGGGCTCCGCATACGCCAGCGCGCCATTGACATCGATGTAAACTACTAGGTAATCAGCAAGCCCGTACGGTTCAGCAACACCTTTGACATGTATAAACAAGGGAAGGGCAGGGAAGGGAAAGGAAGAGATAATAATCTACCTTGCTGTCCACCTTCTACGCCAACGAGCAAAGAGATGGTATCGTTCCCGCCGACAAAGATCGTGCTCGTCCCCGGATACGCTGAGCAGTCCACGTCGGACGGGCAGTACGCAGTGGGCTGTTTACCCAGCCAGAAATAGCCGTCGTTGGCGTTGATGCCGTCGCCGAAATAGTACGGCACGG